CCCGTCTCCCCAGCTGGGCGGCCTCAGGCTCACTGCCTGGCCTCTCTCCGGTGGTCCATGTGCCCCCCACCGCGCCCCGTGCGCGCGCACTCACACACACGCACGCTCTCACACACATCAGACCCCCCTGGGTGGGATGTGGAGGGGAGGGGACAGGGACTCCTAGATAGCCTGGCCCAGCTCTGGGGTGGCACCCGGTGGGGACCCTGCCGGGGAGGGCCTGGGAGAAGAGAGGTGGGGCCAGCAGGGGTCAGGGTGCCCCAGGTGCAGGATTCTGGGTACGGGGCAGGCAGTATGAGAAGGCCTGGCGCCTCCCACCCCACCCCCCACCCGCCCCGGCACTGGACCTGGGTCCGCTGCCTGCAGCTCCGTCTCTAGTGAGCCAGTTTCTGGACTGTGCCTGTCCCCACCTCTGAGCACCGCAGGGACAGTAGTGGGACCGAGTGTCGGGGCTGGACTTGACCCAGCTGTGTCCTGCCTGCCCCTGGGGTGGTGTCTCCCTCTGACTGGCCACCCAGACCTGGGCGGCTGCCCAGCCTCAGATGGAACTTCAAGGTTGCACCCAGTGCCATTTTACTGTCCCCCATCCCCAACACTGGCGAGTAGGACGTGGATCCAGAGTGTTTGGAGGGCTCGGCCATAGGCAGTGCAGCTTTGCTCTCCTGTCCCCCTGCTCTTGCCCTTACTGAGCCTGGCCTTGGGCCACAGGTCTGGATTTGGGGTCATGGTGGCCCGAGCGCTCCCAGTAGGGAGAGGGGGTGGCACGTCAGGTGCCAGGGGACTGAGGCAGGACTGGCCTGAAAGTGAAGTCTTGGCCCGGACAGACTCGCCTTGTGGCCTTTGTCCGCAGGCCACCATCGTGGTGGTGTCCCTGGCAGGGATTTGGGTGAGGGCTGCAGTGATGTCATGACACCAAAACCCAGGGCCTTCGTTTTGTGTTGTGAAGGTGAGATGCAGGAGTTGGTGGAGGGTCCCCTGGGTGGGGATGCTGGACAAGGGGCCACAACGGCTCCCACGCACCTATAGTCGTGGCGCCACCGCAAGGCCATCTGAGGATGAGGGCGGGGCCAGAAAGCTGTCCTGGAAGGAGACCCACAGCCTGTCCCTGGGGGCAGGGGCCCTTGCTCGCGGGGACTGCTGTGCTAGGAGTGCTTAGAGCGCCCTCCACCGGGAGCCTCCTGACCCCACCCCACCCAGTGCACTCTGCCTCCTGGGCTCCATTCTGGGGGTGCTACAGTCCCCTCGCCCTGCAGTGGCTTGAAGTAGGGGAGGCAGAGAGGAGGGAAGTGTAGTTGGGGCCCCTCAGTTACGGGGTAGTGGGCTGAACCCACCCCCACCCGCAACCCCACCCCCGCGAAGCTACAGCCACTCACAGGAGAATGGAAGCAAAACTTTATTCCTCTCAGCTGGGGAAGAGAACGAGCAGGTGGTTGTGCAGGACCCCCACCCTCGCCCCTCCCAGGAGACAGGCAGTGCCACCCAGTCACTCCCCCAGCCCCAGTGAAAGCCCAGAGGCTGGCGGCTGGCTGGAGGAGGCAGGTGAGCAGGGCACAGGGCGAGGGGGGCCGCAAAGACAGGGGGGTGGGGCAGGCCGGGGGGGCCAGGGCGGAGGGGGGGGCTGCTTGGGTAGTGGGGCAGGTGTGGGGGCACTTTTCATCATGGGAGCAGCTGGTATGGGCACCAGATTCAGGGCACCACAACACGGTAGGTGCTGCCCGGGATGTGCTCGTCACCCCACTTGACCACAAGCGTGTACTCCCCCTTGTCCTTCAGCAGGTAGGAGACACTGTAGAGCCGGCTGCCCACATGCTTCACCAGGGTCTCCTCACATGGTGTCCTGGGGCCGTGGACTCCGACCAGCAGCATGTTGTTACCTAAGGTCCGAGGGAACTTCTGTTACAGGCCCCAGCGTCTCCCTTTCCACACCTCTCCCTCTATAGCCCTTCTACATGGCTGCCAGCACCCTCCCCTCTCTAGCCAGCATGGGAAACTCCAGCTCGTGCAAGGCCTTTTATGGGGAGTGGGGGCAGATGCCAGGAGGCCCAGATGGAGGCACCTCTACGAGCGACAGCCCCAGCCCAAAGGGAGTCACTATTGTCCCTTGTTGCCAGTCTGTCACTTCTGGTCTCATCTTTCCAGAAGGCTGGGGTCAGAGCTGGGGCTCAGGCTGCCCACCTGCTTTGCTGCAGTCAACTGTGAAGCTGCTCTTCTGGCCTGAATAGGCCTTGCTCAGCCCCAAGCCCTTGGCCACCACCTTGCTGGCATCGGCAGGACTTGGGCCTAGGGTCCCATGCGGGGGAGCACCAGCAGCCTTGGTAAGGGAGTCCACAAACACCGATGACGTTTCATGGAGGCTGTGGTTGCTGACGAGACGGGGGCCTGTGGGGCAGAGTAGGTGTGGCTAAGAGGCACCTAGAGTGCTGGGCATGTGGCGGGTGGCAGCAGCCTGGTCCTAGGCTCACCTGTGACTTTGGCCTTGAAAGGGCTGCCCCCAATGTGGTAGGGGCCACCATACTTGATGGAAATGAGGTAGCTGCCAGGTGCCATGGGGGTATAGGTGACACGGTAGCCCTCTGGGCACTCCTGGCAGTCCATCTTCACCTTGGAGGGGCCATCGATGGTCACTGACAGGGCACCGGCGCCTGCATTGCTTGTGTTCACAATGAACTCCGCTGGGCTCCCTGGGAGCATGACAGGTCAGGCAGAGCCAGCTTCCTAGTTCTCAGCCCCCTGGCACAGGCTGTCACCCCCACATGCCTTCTGTTGTCCCCAAGAACTTGGAGGCAGGACTCTGGCAGCTGTGACCATACCTGGAGCCCCACCACCCACGGACCTACCCGTGATGCCGCCTTCCAGGCCTGCTCCATAGGCAGATACCAGGCCTGGGTCTCCTCCATGCCCAGGCTCCCCAACTCGGATCTTGAAGGGGCTCCCTGGGATGTGTGTGCCATTGAACTTGACGTCAATCAGGTAGACGCCATTCTCCCGTGGAATGAAGCGTACAGCATATTTATCTGAGGAGCAGAAGGGCACGCATGGGCCAGGGTCCCTCTGAGCAGATGACCCTGGCCTTACCATGCCCTCAGCCAGCAGCACCAGCTCAGCAGTCCTGCGGGGGGCTAGTTTGCTGCTTCCAGGGCTGTGTCAGGCACCCACACCGGGCAATGCAGACCTCCCAAGGCTGAGGGCTGAACCTTTCGACCCCAAGTAGCCCGCTATGGAGGTTCACTTGGGCCGAAACCTTTCACAAGTAAAGCACCTAACTCACCGCCTCCTGAGAAAGATCCCTGTGAGCACATAGCCACACATGTACTGGAGCTTAGAGACAGGTGGGACCTCATTTCAGGTCCCACAGTGAGAAAGGGGCAGGACTAGGCTGTGAAAGAAGCCTCTGGGTTCCTCTGAACCCTTGGGGCCACCTCACACCTGTCTGCATGTACAGCACTTGGGCTACAGGCCAGCCAGCCCTGCAGCTTGACTTTGAGTCTCTTCCTCTGGAGGCTGCATCTCTATCCTGCCTGCACAAGAGGATCCAGGTGTTGGTGCCCCGACTCATCTGTGTACAGAATCTGTGCCTTCCTTTCATATTCTCACCCTGCTTCCAGCCAGCTGGGCACGCCTCAGGCAGGACTAGGGCAGATGGCTGGGTGGCCCAGACAGGGACAGGACCTCACCTTGGTCAATCTCTGTGACATAGCACTCCTCCAGGGCTCCTGAGGGGCTGTGTACCTTGGCATCGATCGCCCCTTTGGCCCCGTTCAGGCTGACTGCAAAAGAGGCTGGCTGGTTGACCTTTAGCCCTGACTCCTGGAAGCATAGCAAACGTGGTTAGATGGGGTGGCAGGTGCTAGGTAGGGCAAGAGAAGTAGGAGGCCCACTATGAGGCACTTACCCATTTGGCGTCCAACTTGGTTTAAAGAGGGAGAGCCATTGATTTGCAAGGAGCAGAAAGCCACAGGCACACACACACCCACAGCCCCCTGCGCCCCAGCCTCCCACTCAGTCACACACACCTGGGCAACAGGAAGAGAGGGCGGCTCCCCCCTGTGGGCAGCACCCATCCCTGGCAGGCTGTCCCTCTTTACACCTCAGCCCTGGTGCTCAAGGGGCACAGGCTTCTGTTCAAAGCCTTTAGACCTGAGACACGAGAAAAACTCCATGCGGCGGGCAGAGCACTTCCTGCCGACCCCAAGCGTGGGCTGCGCCCGGCCAGAGCAGAGGCCCAGTACCCAGCGCTAGTCTGGATGGGTCACTCGACACAAGGTCAAGGCCTGCTGTTTGAGGGGGCTCTGGTCTGGCCGGGCCCAGGAGCCCCGGTGGGCGGTTTCTCTCAGTGCCTCACCTGAAGACTAGAAACAGTAAGGCGGCAGGCATCGCCAGACGGAGAAGCCACAGGCACCACGAAGGGGCTGTCAGGGATGTGCTCCTCGTTGAATTTGACTGAGACCTCGTAGTAACCTGGGAAGGG